TATTACAAAAAAGCTAACAAAATACACCCCAAAAAATTGTAAAATTTTATATCAAAGTAGGCCAATATTCGGCATCAGCCGTGACAAATATTATTTTGTCAATATATAATCTTTCTTTCTTTACATGTATTACGGAAAAAGCATTTGATGAAGATTGATTGTCTACGCATATATACTGTATGTGTCAATCTTTTTACAGACAATCCCCCAAATTCCGAGTCTGAATTCATTGGTGCACGCTGCATTAAGCAATACTGGTCAACTACATCTAGCAAAATTATCAGTTGCATTTTACTTAGTGTTAGTGAATAAGTTAATTTCAACTCATCCGATCATGATTCCGATGAATTCCGATGAATTCCGACTCGGAATTTGGAATTTTGGTTTCGCGACTAATTCATTCTATCGAAGAAAAAGTTCAGGAGGCTTAGTAACACAGATCTTTGCGTACCGATACATATGTGGAAATGATTTTTTATCTATAAAAATTTTATGGTTCAGAATAACATCTATACACCTTTAAAATTAAAAATGGTATTCCCAATTTTTATGAGAACCTTTAGATTTACTCAGAAAGCTCAAAATGAATTTCGAGCCTTATATGTACGTAATGCAACAACGGTTAGTTCAGTTACTCAAAAGTTGTCAAAATTTGCAGGTATTTAGTTCTAGTTCAGCTTAACCGTTTAGCCACTTTGTTAAATTAAAATTTAAGTTTAAATGATAAATTTCCAAACGTATAATTATTTAATGATTGACATTATACTAATTTAAAAGAATATAGAAAGCCGATTATTTATAATACCCTCGTGATCAAAGAATTGGCGAAAGAAGTATACATTAAAGAAGGTCTTCGTCCACCAACAATATCAGAAATCTCGCAAGCTTTTTCGGATTTACAATCTATTCGACTAAGAGATATCACAGAAATAGGGCTTAGAGATGCGGCTAGAATTGCTATACGATCTGTGGAAGTTCTTGGATTTTTTGCACTTGGAGAAATGATTGGAAGGAGAAGTTTGATTGGATATAAATACTGAACGAATTTGTTTACTTTTTTATGAAATTTAGATTCTTTCTTAAAAAAAATTTTTGGAAATTTAGTTAATTGAAAATTTACAGGGGCTTTGGATCTCTTTTCAGGAAAGTTTATGCGAAACTGATTTCGAACGAATGATAAAATTTCCGAAATCACATTGTTCTTTATATATTAAATTGTCACAAACTGTAAGCAATAAACAAAATATCGAAAATTTTAATCAGTATGTACAAGTGTTTTACAGTGCACAAACGTTACACTTGTGATACTAAAAGAAATAAATCAAGTTAGAGATTTGGATAAAGATTTCGGAGAAAATAAATCAAGTTAGGGATTCGGTAAAGATTTCGGAGAATAAGCCTCGCAATATTCATAGTATTGACATCCACTTGCCATGAAAAAAATAATTTATTACATGCGAATTCAGTCATTGAATTCAACCCAATTAATCACTTTGATTTATTATCGTCATTTATACTAGAAGACATAGATTCCGATGATATTTCCTGAGATAATTTGTTCTTTCGAAAACAAACAACAGACATTTAATTTGAGATAGAATTTTGAAGAATGTTCAAAGATATCAAAAGGAATAATGAAATTACAAACCAATTCTCGTTGCGTTGCTAATTCTCTACTTTGTACGAGTCTTCGATTGAACAGTATACCTACCTCTACAAAACCGAAGACTATTAATAATAAATGGATATAAACATTTTTATTTGTATTTAGCATGCGTGTGGGTCTTTTTGAACACGTGAAGTAAAGGCTCACCTGTGAGACCAACTAATGTGAGAACAGTAGTTTTGTGAGCGAGATTTGCTGCCCTAGATCTTAAGGACAACATTCTTCTACTTATGTTGAAACCGAATTCCAAATCTAACTCAAGTTGAACCGAAATCTAAAAGCAACTTATGTTGGTTCTAAATTTGATACTGGTATTATGATAAATATGCAATTGATGATGTAAAGAAAGAAAGATTATATATTGACAAAATAATATTTGTCACGGTTGATGCCGAATATTGGCCTACTTTGATATAAAATTTTACAATTTTTTGGGGTGTATTTTGTTAGCTTTTTTGTAATA